AGATCACATCCAGTGAAAGGACCTTTGAAACTAAGATCACATCCAGTGAAAGGACCTTTGAAACTAAGATCACATCCAGTGAAAGGACTTTTGAAGCTTAGATCACATCCCGTGAAAGGACCTTTGAAGCTAAGGTCACATCCAGTGAAAGGACTTTTGAAGCTTAGATCACATCCAGTGAAAGGACTTTTGAAGCTTAGATCACATCCACTGTTTGTTGGTCACTGTTTTTCTCTTTAACTATCTTTCGTCTTTCCACTTTTCGCAATAAACGTACATACAAAAACCGAGATTGGGCTGCCTGTGGTTTTCCAGGGCACAATCCCAGGACGTTTTCTAGGAAAATGTTGGTTGATACAGAGATAGATTTCTTTATTAGTCATATATTTGCAGCTTCCGGGCTGGCTGAATTTTAAATATTTTTAAACACACTTACAAAAACTGAAATAGTATTTTGTGGTACATGCTTTTCCTTCGTATAATTTGACATGATCGCATTTTCTTATCTATTCATTTGCGTATTGAGTTGTTGCTCTAATAAACGCCCGTGCCCTTGTCATGCCTCACTGAATTCCTGTCTTGTATTTTTCACTCCCGTACGAATAATAATCGCGAATAATTCGTACGGGAGTCTGTTCAGCGAAAATTTATCAACATATTTCACTCCCGTTCGAATAACAATCGCGAATAATTTGTACGGGAGTCTGTTCAGCGAAAATTTACCAAAATTCTTCACTTCCGTATTCACTGCTAGTGCCCCCCTTCCCTTGTCACATTACCCTCACGCTTTGATTGATGGAGAAGGAATTAGTGAGTCCTCAGTCAAGGGAAGGGAAAGAAGAGAAAAGCGAAGCCGTCACTTTTTCTCTTCTTCCCAAAAGCCATCGCGAGAGCATTAAAAAAGCGTGAGTGACGACAGGGTACGAGGCTGGGAGTTTCCGACCATGATAAACTATACTTTTTATCATCAACTCCAACCTCGGCTTGGAACGATTACTCGTGGTCACTGAACAGAACTGTAAAATGGACTATTGGTCTATTCCACTCGCCGTAAGTAATGAACGGCCCCTAGTCACGTGACACATGCTGTACTACAATTATGGGATGCATCGTTGCTATAACTACCAAAACTATTTTTAATCGAACATGAATTGGAATTAACATTAATTTGTCTTCGAGGCATTACAATAATTTCGTGTTAGTCGAGTCAACCCTTCTAAAATAGCTCACTGAACAACATTCCACATTACTGCTGCTGTTGCTATCGTTTGTTGCTTACGCTTATGTTGCTGCTGCTTCTTTTTAGATTTTTGTTCAATTTTTGCCCAATTTACCCTGTCAGTTTCTTTATTCTGTTGCTGTCGCTACTATTGTACTTATTACATCATTTTATCATTGTGCTATGATACTGTAAATCAAATGTCCGTTTTTGCAGTTCCTTTTTTGTTGTTGGTGGATGTGCTGTTGCTATTATATTCGTTTTCGCTGTAGTGTTGTTGTTGTTGGCTGTGCTGTTGCTGTTGGTGGTGGTGGTGACGCTGGCGTTGCCATATAATTCAGTTTCCTGTTGTTGTTGGATTTCTTGTTGTTATTGTCCACTGGGTGATCATCGATGTAGTTACTGCTCCTTCTGTCCATATATTAGTTCTAAGTTTGTCCTTTTGAAATCGCTGTCTTCAAACAGAATTGTAATTTTCGTTTTGCTGATGCTGCTCCTAACTGTATAATTATTAAAAGAATCTGCTGCTGCCGCTGTTGTTGTCTTTGTCATCGTTGATACGCTTGCCTTTGTCTCTGTTTGCTCTTGTTGCTGTGGTTGCTGCTGCTGCTGCATTTGTTGCCGTTGTTTTTATTGCTGCTGTTGCTGCAATTGCTGTTGTTGTTACAGATGTTGTTGTTGAAGTGTCTGATTGTCTGTTCTTCGTTATTGTTGTTGAAGCTACTACACTGACCGCTACCTCTAATTCTGTATATGATGATGATGATGACGACGATGACGAAGATGAAGTTGTTATTGTATCCGAATTATGTAAAAACTATCCAACATGTTATCAGCCAGCACGTGACCACGAATGCTGTTTTTTACTTGTGACAATAAATTGAGCCAATCCCCACATACGATTCAACATCGGTCAAAACAAGACGTCAAATAGAAGGATCTTACGGCGTCCACGATGATACAAAATGATCGCAATGCAGCACCCAACACACCCAGCCACAATCTTTAACCTCCATAATGGTTGTTCTTCAGAACAGGGCCCAGTAAATCAAGACCAGTCAAAAAGAGCCACAATATTGGTGTTCATCAGTATTGGTAGTTGTAGATCGCTGAAAAATTATAGCTTATACCTCAATCACGTGTTAAGGTCATTCACGATTCTTGCAGCTCAATTCGACGAGTGTCACTTTCTAAATCTTAATGTCATTGTTGAATTATCTGCACTTGTATTCAATGGCCTTGCTCTGTCATAGCTTGCCGTATCGAATCCTGTTGCATTTCGTTGAGTTGAGATAAATATGTATTCCAGGCGTCGCCCATCGTCTACATTGGTAAAAAGATAACAAAAAAGTTTAACGGACGCATAAAAAAAAAAAACAAAAACGGGCAGACAGAAAGACTAACACAAAGACCAACAGACGACCACCTGCTGATCTGAGAGAAAATGTTAGCCAATCAAATTTGAGAAAATTTGCACAACTGAAGTGTCACTTTCCTCTTTAGCGAAATTTTGAATTTCCAGGTCACCATGCAAATAAGAAAGAAAAACGTTGCTAATAAGAGGTTGATAGCAGCACAGGTAGCCCAAGCTATGTGTGTTACATATTTATAAGGCAATGTATCCAGATTATTTAAACACTGTAATTCAGTGAGGTCATTTTTACGTCACTATTTCGGATCAGCTGGCAGGCATTCAAATAGGCAAAACAAAAAACAAAAAAAAACAAAGAAACAGTAAGTAAAATATTTATAAAAAATTAAGTTACAAATATTAAACAAACAAACAAAAAACGGAAAAACAAGTCAAAGAAAAAAGAAAAGCAAAAAGATAAACAGAGGAAAAAACGAAGAAAAAACAAAAAAGAAAAAAAATAATCAAAGAAAAAAAGAAAAAAGAAAAAGAAAAATTTAAAAACAAGAGGAAAAACGAAACCCCCAAAAAAGAAAAAAAAAAGAAACCGATGATAAAAGAAAATTCAAAAACAATCAAACAACAACAAGCAAGAAAGTACATCTGAATAAAAGCATTTATATCGGGCTATACTAACCTGCATCTGGGCGATGATTCGAAGAAGTCTTTGTCTTGTTTCCATGTCTTCACTGAGCACTTCCGACAGGAAGACGTCAGCAAAGATCTGCAGTATTCTAGATAAGTTACTATAGTTGGTTCCTAAAACTAATGGATGATTCCTAGAAAACAAAGCGCAGCTATGAGGTTATTGATCACAACTAAGAGCAACAGCAATTACAAAACAAAAAAAACAAAAAACAGAGAATACACCAATTTCGCATTCGATGAATACCGCTGTTAATGAAGACCAGAATCATTTGTACAGGCTTATCCTCGTTTATAAGTCAGCTATTCACAGATACCATTAAAAGTCCGTGGTATTTCAAAACATTGGTATTGTTCAAGCTGCACATTCTTTCCATTACGGTTAATTTTTGCAAATGATTTGCTCTTAAGCGAGGCTAAGGCTAAGCTGGCTGCTTCAATCAGCGTTCGAGTTTCACTGACTAACCACATGGTTTCGAATATAATAATAATAATAATATTTATAATAATTCAATAAAAATTTGATATTTCTATTGCGCATGTTCCATTGGAAGATGCTCACATGCGCATTACACACATTATATTACTGATTTACAATGTTATAAAAATATTATATAATTTAAATAATAATAGTCAAATTTCTGAGGAAAAATGAAATAAAATAAAATT